GTAATCCCTTACTTTACTCGTTACTTGAAAAAAGTAATCGGGTTACAGTATCGCGTTTCTTGTAACGCGTTACTGCCCGTCTCTGGTCGTGGGGGTGGGGACTTTATGTAATTCTATAGAATTTGCCAGCTTAGACGGGCATGACGTCGGTATGAGGAGATCATTCAGTCCCATCGAGTTACCCTTTGAATATTTCACGGTTTTAAACTCTGACTCAATAACTGATGAACTCTTAAATCTTTCCATCTCTTCTCCTGCAGCTGGGGTGGAGCAGATCTCCATCACTGAGGAGCAGCAGGCTGCGGTTCGTTTACAGCAGATGGAGGAAGATAAGCTGCTGGCCCGCCGGCTGCAGGCAGAGGACGACTCGGACATCGGTATGTGTCGGTCTTATCGGGGGGGGCAGACCTGCTGTCGGTCTGCTGCTTTTGTAAGTGAACCAAAGAAAATGCTAATGCTAAATAACTTCTGTAACTGCTATGAACGTCATGTGACTGTGATGCTCGGCGTGAGCAGTTATACTTATATATTACAACTTCCTGCCACACGTGTCAAATGAAACACCGAACTAAGACTTTTCACGCCTTTGTTCATTTTTTGTATTTGGCGACGTGCTCCTGATGAGACAAGCACTCCGGCTAAAACAGATGGAGGACGACCATGACCAACTAGGCTCCACCCCTAAACTGGTCCTGATAATCTAGACTAGGAACAAAACAAAAAACAGGACCGCCGGTACCTCCCAATTCAGCCTGTACTTAAAAAAACAAACAACTGACGGAGGTGACGGGCGACCATGCTCCGTCTTCTCTGAAGGCTCGCCTTCAGGAACCAATCAGCAGTAAGAATAAATCAGAGAAGCTCACACAGGGGCGCTGCTTGTCTGCCTTTTGCAGTGGGGAGACTGCAGCCCCCTCAGCCCCCCTCCTTCACACGGCCCTGTCCATGCTGTCCTGTAGGGAATGACTGTGATTGGCTGTGGTCACGAGTCGATTTGCATTTTATTAAAGATAATTTTTAATTGGTTCTTTATTTTTAGTTTTTTGCATTTAAATATCACTCGATGGTGCACGCGTCTCTGGGTCTAGCTTCTTTGGCCTGGATGGGTTCTGTGACGAGTGGTTTCTCCTGCAGCTGTGGTGGAGCAGATCTCCATCAGCGAGGAGGAGGAGGCTGCAGCTCGTTCGCAGCAGCTGAGGGAAGACGAGGCGCTGGCCCGACGGCTGCAGGTGGAGGACGACTCGGACATGGGTACGTGTCGGCGTTACACACACGCACATATGAATATTGGAACCCTTCTTTCACTGCTGCTTTAGTTTCAGCGTCTCTGACGGTTGTTGGCGACACAAACAAGCGGAACCGATCCTGGAGTTACTCTTCTCTCAGCATCGGGAACGTTAAAGTTCCCGATGCTGAGAGAAGAGTAACTTTTATCTTTCAGCTTCTCCAAAATTTCCAATTTCCAACATTCATACATGTTGCTGATGACTCAAACGGCTGCAGGAACACGCCCACCCTCCACAATAGTTATTATTAGAACAGTTAACATGCATGTCACTCCTGCTGTCACACTTTGTCAGCGTGGTGTCTTTGAACGCAGCACGGGGGCTGTTGCCTCAGCAGCTGCACCCTCAGTGGACGCTTGTCTGATCCTTCGTTTCTTCTGCAGCTGCAGTGGAGCAGCTCGCCATCAGCGAGGAGGACGCCATTTGTTTCCAGCAGGCGGAGGATGACGAGGAGCTGCAGGTGGAGGCCGGCTCAGACATCGGTACGTCAGCGTTGCGTTAGGCTGTGGTGAGTCAGTGAGTGAAACGGGCGCTGCTCTCAGGCGCTGCTCGGTAATCTCTGTTCGCCGTTCACTCGCAGCTGCTCGATGAGCAAACGTCACTGTCCCCACTTCCACGCTTTGCATACAGGGCGGGATTCCCACTGTGGAAGAATGATTTTGTTTTATTTTGTATTTATTTTTTTAAATGTTTTGCCTTTTTAAATCTATATCCTTCATTCATCATCATCTTCATCACTACTGTGATGTTGTGGCACGGTGGTGTGGTGGTCAGCAGGGTGTTCTCCCACAGTCCGAACTATTATTATTACTATATGATGATGGAGTCTGTGACGAGTGGTTTCTCCTGCAGCTGTGGAGGAGCAGATCTCCAGCAGCGAGGAGGAGGAGGAGGAGGAAGAGGAAGAGGATGCGGTTCCTTCACAGCAGGTGGAGGAAGACGAGGCTCTGGCCCGAAGGCTGCAGGCGGAGGACGACTCGGTGCTCGGTACGTGTCAGTGTTGGGGGGCGGACCTTGAGAACGATGGGGAACGTCGTTATTATTGAAACATGATTGGCTGGTGGTGGTTCCAGCCTCCTGCTGAACCTTCAACGTTCTTCTGATGCTTTGTTCTGCAGCCGCGGTGGTGGAGCAGCTCGCCGTCAGCGACGAAGAGGAGGGGGCCACTGGTTTACAGCAGGTGGAGGATCACGAGGCGCTGCACCAACACCTGCAGGTGGAGGCAGACTTGCACCAAACGCCTCACCTGAGGCAGAGCGGACAGGTGTTCACGTTTCTGTTTGTTCCTCCAGGCTCGGCTGGACCGAGTGGAGCACAACAGACACCGTCACCACCTCCATTATCACCACCTCCACCAGCGTCTTCTTCATCGCCTCCACAGGGTGAGGCAGCCAATCACAGTCTGATCGTGGTTTAATATTATCAAAAGTGGTGCTGCGTTCAGGAAGCGAGCGACGTTTTGCTTTGATTCGCTGACCGAGCCGTGACCTTCTCTCTGCAGGGTCGTCCCACAGAGCGCCGCTGGATGATTCAGGTGGCTCCCGGAGAAGGTAAGCACCAGAAACCAAGTGCTACAGAGATGTGGTATAAATACATGCAGTACTTCAGTCCAATCAGGTCTTTGGGGTATTTGTAGTTTTTCTACTCGCTCCTGTTAAAGTAAAGATTTTTTCTCTCTCTATAAAAACTGAACAAACACAAGCTGCTCAAACCTGACTGACCAATCAAACGACAGCGTAGAAACCTGACCAATCAAACGACAGCGTAGAAACCTGACCAATCAAACGACAGCATGACACTGTTGTAGAGCTTTAATCGGTCTGCTTCTGCTGATCGTTCCACAGTTGTGATTGGTCACGGCAGGAGTAGGGACGCCACATCTGATGACGCTGAAGGAAACGACTACGAGGTGAGGAGTCTGGAGGAGGGGGAGGGGGAGGAGTTTCGAGGAGGGGGAGGAGTCTCGATCATTCTGCAGACTTTGTTCACTCAGGGACAAAAATCCTGTCAGAATTTGTCTTTGGAGCTTTTTTCCAAAAAGTTGTTTTGAATTTGGATCTTTCTTCTTCTTCTTCTTCTTTAATGTTTCATCTCAGACTTGGTTTGTGATCTCTTCTTTACGTTCCTCCTTCGTGTTACAGTTAAGCTCTTACAGTTAGACGCTGCAGGTATTCAACGTGGACCAATCAGGGCCCAGATGTCAGAGTGTTGACGCCTTTGCTCGTCTTTCAGTCTCTGCTGGAGCTCGAGGAGCGTCAGGGCGCCGTGAGGACCAATCAGCTGAGCGCGACGGACATCCAGAGGTTTCCCACCAAGGTGTTCCAGGGATGCGGCGGCAGCGGCGGGAACACGCAGTGAGTCTCAGAACTCGCCATTTGTAACGCTGAAAACAAACAAACCCCAAACCTGCACGCTAACACGTCTCTGTGCTGATTGGCCGGCAGGTGTCAGATCTGTGTCTGCGACTACAGCGACGGCGAGAAGCTGAGGATTCTGCCCTGTTTCCATGACTACCACGTTCACTGTATCGACCAGTGGCTGAAGGTAACGCCGTGCTTGGTTATACGGAGATGACATAAACTCGGAACGCCACCTGACTCTGTCTCCTCCCCCCCAGGATAACCCCACCTGTCCCATCTGCAGAGTCAACCTGGCCGACAAAGACGCCATTGCCCCCCCGACCTCTGACCTCTGACCTTGCTTCTACTGTTTCCTATGGGAACAAACAGGAAGGAAGGAAGGAAGGAAGGAAGGAAGGAGGACTCACGCTTGTTTTTGTTTTGAATACTTTAATTTAAAGGCTTCACTCGGTGGTCATGTGACCTCAGGATTGGAACCGTAAACCTCAAAGCTGTTCGTGTCGTCACCGTTCGGTCGCCGTTTAGTCCTCGTAGTAGCGCTTCTTCATCGCTCTGTACTTCCTCAGGTAGTAAAGCGCCTCCAGCTCCCGGGCCACGTACTCGCCACGAGCAATCAGGGCCTTTATTTGCTCGGGGTCCTCCACCGCCTTGTTCCTGGCAAACGCCGCTCTCAGACGGTCGCGGAAGTAGTCACCACCTTTGGGGTACTCCCGGCCGAGGTAGAGGAGCTGCAAGGAGGAAGAGGATGTGTTAGCAAAAATATGTCTTTATTTTTACTAAAGGGCAAAAAGGCGGCCGATGTCTGACGGCACATGATGATCACATGATCTCAAAATCAACACAGGTCTTAAAATCACTCTGGACGATGATCTTAGACTGACACACCTCCAGAGGCCAATGCGTTTTATGAGGACGAGCAGCGGGAACGCTCCGAGGATCCACGAGCGCTTTTAGTGATTCACTTTACAAAAGGTGAATCTGAAATCTTGTCACATAGTCTTGCTTTGTAATTCCTTCAGCGGCGCTCCCTGCAGAGACCTTATCTTAGTCTAAAGCTGATAACAGAAAGTGTTTTCCTAAAGAGGGTCAAAGGTTTATCTGCAGACAGCTCTGCGGTCATAAAGGCGCCGCTGATCTCCATCCTACACGCTTCTTCATGCATAAAATCTTTAAAAACACTGATTGTTACAGTGTCTCACCTTACTTTCTAATTCACTCAGGAGGGCGGAGCTCCTGCGTGAGGTGGACACAGGAAGTCTTTAAACCTTCACCATGAGGGATCACGAGTGCGGGCATCTTAGTTTTTGCATTTATGAAATAAGAAAGCGCCGCCTGCTGCCTGTTTGTCTAAACTCACTGAGTTAGTTTCACCAAAGAAAAATGTGGTGACCATCTCAGCCACAGCACATCTTATGTCACGTGTGCAGCTGGTTTCACTCAGAACCCGTTAAAGGGGCGGGGCTACAGAGGGGAGGCGTGTTAGATTTCTGGGTTTTGGGCTTTAATGTTATTAAAATATTGTGATGGTGGGCTGTGAGTTTGATTGTTGGTTTTCTCTGCTGATGTTGTTCGCGGCGTAACGACGGCTCTGCCACTGAAACGTCCACTTTTTCACCCTAAACATGATGAAGTGTCGTCAGAGTGTTTCTGCGCAGATAATCTCAGCCCGATCCGATAAATAAGCTTTAAATATATCAGAACACCACTTCAGCGTCATTCTGACAGATGAATAAAGACCTCAGTGCTTTGGTGCAGACACTACAGGTTGTGCACGCAGTTGCATTCTTTTAATGCCCAGCAGGGGGCGACACTTGCTGCAGCGCCCTCTGTAAACACTGCTGACATCTTCACAGATGAACATGAAGCTTGAACATTTTGGTGGGGCTCAGCACCGCTTTGCATGATGGGAGATTTGAGAGGCAGCTTTGTGCCTTCAGATCTGTTTGAGGTCATCTCATCATTATGCACCTCCGACGGCTCACAGTGGCACCGACGGATCATCTTAAAAGTAAATTAACTGTCAATAAATGTTAACAACATCATCATGGAGTCTTTGCTGACGCCGCCTGAAGTCTCATCATCCAAACTCCCGATTCTGACGTTTACAGCTGTGAAAACAGAAAATCTAGAATCGCTGGAGGACAACGTGTCACCGACAATGTTCCCCCTAAGCTGCGCGCGTGTGCAATTGCGCACTGCTGGCACGTCTCTGCACAGGAAATCTGCGTTGCGCACCAAAAATCTAACCTGCACTGAAATTAAAATTAAACTTTAACAATCATGTTCTGCAGTGTGAGTCAGTGACTGGCTGCTCCCGTGTGTGATCAGAACGATGCCACCTTATCCCAAAGTCCAGCCAATGATGCGATTCACATTCGTATATACGCAGC